CAGCCAGCCAGCCAGTCAGCCAGTCAGCCAGCCAGCCAGCCAGCCAGCCAGCCAGCTAGCCTACGACGCCGTCCTCTTCTTCCGTCCTCGTATTATCATTTCCTCCCATTCCTCCCGTCCGTTCGTCTGTCCATCTATTCGTTGGCCTGTCCGTATCTCCGTCTTTCTTTTCTTCTCACATACCTTCGAAAAGTAGCGCGACGTAGTTTCCGAGCGCGATCAAGTGTTCTCCAGCATGCTCCAAGAGGAGTATCGTGCGCGTGGTGATTCCGAAGAGGTATCAGAAGGACATTCGGCTACTGTGATCCGCGCGGTGAACGATACCCTCGTATTGTGATTCTTTTTGACGGATCATCATACGTCTCTTACCTGTCAGAGGATACTTTTGACACGAGAGTGTGTGTCGCAGATAGATAAATATCATTTTGGTGTAACACGACGTTACCGCGACCGAGAACGATCTGTTTGACAACGTACAGTGCGTGGATGAAGAACGTGCGTCGATGTGTGCTTTCTGTGCTGGGTAAGAGCGAACGAGGATGATGCGTGCGAATTGATGTATGTCCGTAGGTGCGACCGTGTGATAATTGGGACATTGGGGCAAAGAGTTTGATACGGAGGTGTCTCAAGAGGAAAAGGATCAAACGGAGGCGAAGAATATCGGATAAGTACGTAGAACAATCTTAGAGCTCTCAATGTCAGAATTATAGATGGCTCTAGAGATTCGAGTCTTATAAATTTTTGAGTTTCTCTGTCTTGATTTCTGAAAAGAATAAAAATATAATATTCATACAACTAAAATTGTACAACTTATCTCCTACATAATAAATGTTCATTTCTTTTCTTTTTCATATTCGTTATATTAATTATTATTTAGAGATTTATATAAAATATAGTTTTATATAAAAAATTTTATACAAAATATATCAATTATTGATTATTTCCGGAAGAGCTTAAAGGATTTTCCCTCACATATCCATCTATAATCGACTATTTTTCTATTTAGTATAATTATAGTATATTAGATACAATTACCAATTAGAAGTTATTAAAACAACAGAAATATTTCAATACGTATTTTCTGCTGCATTCTTATTTTTTTATTATTCTATATATTCTTCAGCATTTCAAATAATATCGCTTCTCTGCATTTTTTTAAATAATAAAAATAAATATATCTAAGAGAGAATTACGTTAGATATATTATCTCATTTAAACGCTGCAATCAACTTTTCAGTGACATTTGACATACGAGAAGATTTCAGATGTCGCGGGAGATTAAAGTTTATCTCTGCTTGGTTATTTATAACATAATTGTTTAATGTAATATAAATTATGCAGTCTTCTTACGTTTGTTGAGCAATAATTCATAATCATGACATTACATTCTTGTGACAAGTTTAATATAGTGTCAGATACTTAATTATTTATTCGGACCGTTTCTATAAAAAACATAATGATGTCTCTGTTATTGAATGCGGTTTTTCTTTTTTATTATTTTATTTATCAATTTCTTACATCAAAATCGAGTTATGTTTATGAAAATTTTAGAAATTAGAAGATAACTTCTCAATGACACTCGTCGCTTTCGATATTCAAGAATCGAAGCGTTTAAAATGAAAAATTATGTTGAAGGTCCCTAATCAAGAGTTTAAAATCATTTTATATCAACGATATAAAATGATAAAGCATGTTACATTTGGCTGTACGTTTACGTAGAAATCTGTAGGATCGATACTTGCGATTAATAATGTGCGTGAACAGTTCGGCCAATTCGAGTGCCGTTACACGAAAACTCGATTCAGGGCCTCGCGGCGATTACGATTAATTTGTCACGACTTAGGGAGAAGGGAGGGGGCGTAATAATTTCAACAGTCTGCAACCGGTACTGTGATATCCATGTGACGTGCCGCTCCCAACCGGTTCATTAAAGCTGCAGTCTACTCGTCACTTATTGGTTGCCACAGCTTGGCAGCAATCGAGATGTTCACCCGGCGAAACAGTAAAAAAAAAAAAAGAGAGAAATAAAAAGAAACAAAAAGAGGAACGGCACGTGTATATATGTATGTGTGTTTTTCATCTTTCAATTATTATCATTGCAAAGACGAGCATAAGCAAGCGAATCGCCGATTGCGATCATCACGCGCCTCTATTAGGCGGACAATCGGATTATTAATAACAGGATAGGAGCGCCTTTCGTAAGGCGAAAGGATCGATGGCAGAAATGGCGACGGCAGAATTGGCGACGGAATCATCACGAGGAACTGTTAGAAATCGGTGATATCGGTGAAATAAATTTGCGCATTTTGATCGGTTACCACGCGAACTTTCACGGGTTAATAAATTAGACGTCATGGGCAAACCCATAACAGCATATTTTGGAGTATGGAAAATATTCGATCGTTTCTACGTACGAATGTATAAGATAATTAATTCAAGATTCTCGATTTCGATCGAGCGTACGTTCGATTCGCGATGGAAGGCATTTTAATGTGACGTAGAGCGAAGTGGAACATTGTTCCGATCATCAAATGTCAAACCTCACCGATTGCCATTAGGATGAGCGGATCGCGACGATTTAACCTCTCCGTACGCGCGCGCGGTATCATTATCTCCCACGGCCGTATCGCTAATTACGTTTTAATACCCTAATTATTTCACAGATTAAAAATCCACGATCGATGTTACAATCCGCCGCGCGGCTCGCAAGAAAACTACTTCGCCCTGACCGTTCGTGCAACCATCTATTGATGAACGAGCGGGTCGCGCTCACATTCGTTTCGCGCAAAGAAAAACGACTCTCCTTCCCCCGATTCCTCAAGGACCGCGATACGTGTAAATACCGGGACATGAAGTCGCGCGATGACAGCTGAAACATATCGGCGATGACGGCGCGCGAGAACGGCGTCCTTCGGCGTCGGCTAATGAAATACACGCTCGTGGACGCGGCTCAAAATAGGAAAAAACCCTGGTGGCACCGATGGACAGTTGCCACACCGTCATCGTTACCCGTCACCATCATCGTCGTCGTAACTCTCGGGGACGATTGTGTTTATCGGCGCCGTTACAATTGCGCTTACCGCCGGCTCACCGCGCGCGCATTAATCCGTGAAAACAAGGATTTATCGGAGCCGGAGCGCAGCGAGGTGACGATGTATTCAACGGAACCGGTCTTCCGCGGGCATGCGCGGCTCTTAATTAATTTGTCATTAGTCAGCGAGGAAAGATGAGAGGCGCGCAATAAAATTTATCGATGGCTGTGCGCCGCCGCCACCGTTGCGTTCCTCCTCTTTGTCGCGGAGGCGGCCGATTATGCCGATTTCAATAGTTGTACGCGCAGGAGCAACACCCGAAAGCATCGCTCGCGAAAGCGAGCCTAGTCACGTCACAACGATTCTTGTTCAACCTAAAGTTATACGTTATTTCTATCATACATTCTTTTCATTTTTCAATACACGACAGTTATCTAAAAATTACGTAAATGTATCTTACAAGCTATATTGAAAATTTGTAAACGATAATTCCTCCCCTGAGTATATCGAGTATTTTTGATTATACATTTTGGGAGCAAGCTATATTTCTTTGCGGATATTTTCAAATACTTACACAAAGATACTGTAAATATCCCTGTAGTTGTAAAATGTCCAAAAATTATAGTCCTTATTACTCTATTATCAGAAACAAAGATAATAATAAATCTGTATTGTTTCAATGTTGATACTCCACTTTAAATAAATTCAATTTATCAATAATGAATATTTTTTATGAAAACTTCGTCAATTGATTTCACGCTGACGTCTATTCTGTTTCGTGTCAGATGCACCGGCTCTTCTCGGTGTATGCGGCAACTCGGCGAATTGAATGTTACAATTCGAGCTTAGTAAAATCAATCTATACAAATTTGACACTATATAAATTTGTAGCATTTAACGCAATTCATGCGCTTCAATTATAATCCATACTAGAAATCTCATGTATGATCTTTATATCTAATAGATTCCCGCATATAACGCGATCGTGTTGCAAGTTGATGCGAATATTACTCCGCGATCCTGCGATAGATTAACTCAGTGCATCGGCGTTGAGCCAATTATCGCGTTCTTAATCGTGGCTTTGTGATCGACTAGGGAAATCTCAGTGTCCTCAATTAACATTTACTTTCAAATCGCAACTGGATTAATTCTTCAGGCTACCGATCGTTATACCTGATCGCGCGGCGATCATTCCTCTAGAATTAGAATACGGATCATCATCATCGTCGTCGTCGTCATCATCATCATTATCATCATCATCATCATCGTCATCATCATCATCATCATCATCATCATCATCATCATCATCATCATCATCATCATCATCATCATCATCGTCGTC